TACCAAGGTAGTACCACATAGTCACAAAGGTAGATCTGCCATCATATGACTAGGATTCTTCCATGATGACATTTCCTGGCATTGCTTCACTCTTGGAATACCCGGCAAAGATATTGGACTCCTTTTCAGTTTAGATGATGTGCTTGAAGGAAGAAATCCATTTTGTACTCAAAATCTCGACATCAGGAACATCGGCAACCATCAGAAGACAACAACCCATTAAGCGAAGCCGACCGCTACCTCTACAGAAACGATGGTCTAGCTAGACAAAACCGCTTCACTAAACCTGTGTGCTGCTGCACTGTATTTGGTAGTGGAGTTCGTAGAAGACGATATTTTACATGACCCATCCACGCATTTACGGTGCCGATCCCAGCACTTCTTGTATTAAACTAGTTTCTTCACCCCCACTATCCAGGAAGGTTTTTGAAATTTTCACGCGTGGGTTCAGCTGCTGAGGATTGTTGTCTTCCTTATGAATGTCTTTAAACGGTGGTCGAGTCGATTCTCTCTCGAGTGCTGAGATAGCAATCCTGGAGTGTTCTTGCGTGCGTGGATTCAGAGGAGTGAGTTGAGATCAGACAAACCCAGCATCAATTTTCCAACCTAAAAGGATGGTTGGCTAGTGGAGTCCAGCGCGGGATCGAACCAGCACTGTGCTCGTGATGAACGGCATCACTATGAATGCACTTCCTGCTCCTTAAGGACGAAATTATTGCAAAATCATTTCGAGTGGACATCTTTTCTAAAAATTCCAGAGAAGTAGAGATGACTCGCACGTAGTTGCAAAGTTGCTCACCAGCTTTGCCACAGCCTACGAATCGGTGGTAAACGCGCCCTACGGTGATCGCTTAGAGGACAGTCGCGTTGTGTACGCAGCGCAGGGTGGGATTGAAGCCTTCGACTTTCGCAGTTGAGTGCGAGAGGTTCAGTCGTGTCACACACGTAGTTTTAGTTCATTTCTTGTCTTCAGTGTTTTTAAATGAATTTTCCAAGCTAGTAGGGAATCCGGATTATTTTCAGATGGTCGAAAAGAAGGAAGAGGAAAAGAAACGTCGTTCTCGCTCCGCTTCGTCCAGCAGCACATCTTCCTCTGGCAGCTCCTCGAGCAGGTATTAGTATGAGTTTTCATTTCGCTTATTTAATTAAGTTTTTTTCAGTGGTTCTTCCGGTTCATCTCGTTCATCAAGTAGTTCAAGTTCTTCTCGTTCTCCATCTCCCCGTAACAAGAGGGATTCTGGGAAGGTGTTTGATTTTTTGGGTTATGACATTGCTAACGTTAGAGGGAATCATGTCTCTCAGGGTACAAGCGCTCGTGGTCGTTCCCGGTCACCGCGTCGGTCACCTGCAAGAGCTCGTGCTGACAGAGGGCCGGGTGAGATTTTACGGAATTTTGAACTATTGAGGAGAATTTGTGATTACTTTACCCAAAAAGTATTCCTAACAGGTGATCGCCCGAGTCGTCGGTCGCCGTCGCCTCGTCGTCGTCGCGTTTCTGCTTCGCCAAAGCGTCGTACCGATCGGAGCGTAAGCCGCGGTCGACGCCGTTCACCACGTCGTCCGTCGCCTCGTCGAGTGTCTGCAAGAAGATCTCCAAAGAGGTCTTATGCTGTGCTTTACCAGCTATATCTTAACTATTTGAAAAGCTTTTATTGCTTCAGATCTCCTCGTCGGTCATCTCCAAGGAAAGCAAGCCCGTCTAAGCGTATATCAATAAGGAATCTTAGTCGTAATGTGACGAAGGTATGGTATCCGTTTACATTTCTAGATTATCGGTTTATTTATGAACGAAGACTATCAGGGTTTGCGTTATGCGCTACAGATAACAGACTCAAAGAAATGATTGTTGCCCTCTGAGTTTAGTGAAACATGTAACTCTTCTGAAGTGTTTTTTTCCATTTTAAATTTTTAGAGTTTGAGTTTCCAAAATTGGCTTAAAGGTTAAGTGGGATTATTGAGACTAGCGTCATATCATCTTAGAGGAATTCCTGCTTCTTTGTGTGCATCTTGACTAAGTATGTTAACAACTTGTCAACTTCGAACAAGCAGACATCACTTCATCTATATTTTTTAGGGGTTTAATAATGTGGTTCACTGGAAGTTTTCTAACGGCTAGGCGTTTTGGTACATTAAACGTGGTTTTGGTAATAATAACGGAATGAAAAAATGGAAATACTTCGTTTCCTATGGTTCTATCGCACTCGGACCGGATGGGAGAAGCGAATGAGTTCGATTCGAAAATGTCCAGTAACCCACACATTTTGTGAAGAAGTCTACTATTTTACCAATCACACTACTGATTCAATTGAGTTAAATCCTTTGACGTGGTCGTCCTGGCACTGATATTCGTGTTTACATCTGATGGCCGAAAGAATTGTCTAAATGCGTGACGTGTGCTTTAGTTATTACCCGTGGTTATTAAAAGTGTCTCACAGACTACTCATATCCAAATAGTCCGTTCCATTTGTAGCGTTTTCAACAGTTCAGTGCTTCTTGTTATGCATATAATGTAGTTCCTGAAACGAAGAGAATGTGATGGGTTCACTGGAAATTGCAGCAATATCAAGTCCACATATTTCTAGCTGTTTAAAAAAGTTCATCTTTGATCAACCATTACTGAGATTTTTTGCATCATTAGTCTATTCACTTAATAACTCTGGTTTTTCATAATATGATTTCACATTGTGATCCCGACTATAGCTTCAGCTTGACTCGACTTAATGCCAGTTTGTGCTCTACAGATCATTCCTGTTGACGTACGATTGCTGATAGCACTGTTAGAGTAAAAAATTGGTTGAGGGAAATGTAAAGCAAAGGCCTCAATTGGTGTGGTGGATAGCACGTGAGTCCTTGGAAAGGGCAGGGTAATCGCTGGTTCGAAGTCCATCTGGTGCTCGGAGTTTTGCTCATGCACTCATTCTGCTTGTGCGTATCTCATCGTCCTTGTGCTTGTCTAATTTTGCGCTCCCCTGCTTTTGTTTTTCGCAGCCTAATGACCACACTATTTTTCATGTCGTTTTCCGTGTCGCTGCTCAGTAATATATGACATCAATCAGATATTCAATATATGTTGTTCTGTTTGAGAATAATCGTCATCCTTCAATTTTGTCACCTGTCGCTGTTCATCATCTACACGTAAGGTACACAAGGCCAATGTACTATGCTAGATTGTTGCCATAAGTTAAACTATCAGGAAATGTAAGACACAAGCATAGTGCTGAGTATATGACCATTTATTATCACTTAAGTTAGCATTTATCTGAAGAGACCGACTTTCTATAAATTTCGAAATAAATAATTGACATTTATATACTTGCTTGGATACTTGGACTACCCGTCTTTACTGGTTGTGCGGGCCGCAGTACAATCTTCATTTTATCGAAGTTTTGCTGGTTTAGCCACTGTGTTTCCCTGGACTGCTGAGGTCAGCCAGGCGAAAGTCTGCCCCAGGTCGTCACCACCACAGGCAATCGCTCCCGTTGTGGATCAGAAAGGTTTGCCACTGCGCGACTAGTTTGGTACCAAGACCGTGGTGGATTCTGGTCTTGACTTAATCTTAGTTGTTGATTTAAACGCCGGACGCCTTCACAGCTAGGGAGACGCTGCCGGTGTGATGAATCCGCCCACTGTACATCGCAGGTCCGCAGCCAAGAATACTTTCCAGCTACGATAAGGTGGTAAACCGTTGGGACGATATTTACACATATGTATATATACATATATACATGTATAATATATGTATATATATACGTATGTACGTGTGTGCATATGTATATATATATGTATATATATATATATATATATATATATATATAACTCGAAAGACCGACTTTCTATAAACCTCGGCATGGATAGTTGATATATTCATTTATGTGATCTTATAAACTGATCTTCTTAAGCTGACGCGAGGTTGGTGCAGATCTTCGTTGTCGTTGTTTTTGATGTTATTGATCGATGTCTGACGTTTCGGCGACTTCGCCTTCCTCAGAGCCTGGACGTACTTTATGTTAGAATACTTTTTATTATTCGGTGGAAAAGATTAATGAACAACGACAACGGCAGCGAAGATCTGTACCAACCTCGCGGCAGCTTAAGAAGATCAGTTTATAAGATCACATAAATAAATATATATGTATATGAATACATACGTGCATATATATATATATGTGCATATTCTTACGAACTGCCCTTCTTGAGCTGACGCGATGATGGTACCACTTATTGTTGTTGCCGTGGTTCGATGGCTGACTATGCGGCGGTTTTTCCGTTTTCAGAACCAGGGCGTATTTGTTTAACGATATCCGTATAACCACAGTTGCGCTGAGATCGTTGCAAAACTTGAACCCTGTGTCAGATCAAACAGCGATTACCCTTTCCGAGAACTCACTTGTTACACATGGTTCCACAGAAGCCCTCGTTCTACCTTTCTATCAGCCAGTTTTTTTAACCCTAATAGTGAGTGCCATCAGCAGTCACCCGTCAATGCGTTTGATCTGGGGAAAACAAATCGACATTGAATCGGTTGGCGGGTGATTGCTGAAGACACTGTTAGGTAGGAAACTGGAAAAAATTGGAAAAGATGGCAGGTCCCGTGTGGTAGTGAAGCATTCATATTTTCAGGTAAACTTTGTATTTCTGAAATTTATCGAAAACGCCTCAGTCTTGCATGTTGATGTTTTTGATTCCTTCGCTGGGATCCTGGCAGTCACTTCAAAATCATCACCGTTGTGCTTTTGTACTCTATATGTACCCTGGAGTGGGAGGAGTACTTTGTCGAGTTTTAGCTTTTCCATTTAGATACTATCTTATGCGGATACAAAATGGTCTACCCGTTTCCCATATGTATCCCTCACCGCATGCTTTGCATGAGATTATACATTGTACATTGTTCTAAACTCATTCAGTCCCCATCTCTGTCATTCAGACAGATTAAACAGTTTTCTGAGCTGCACAAGCGATCATGAAGGCGATTGCGGACTAACTGAAGGCGTAGGAGATTGCGTGGGAGGTCAGCAACCGACCACTTTTTCTCAGGCACCTCTTAATGGCGTAACTTACTTCGTTTGAAATGAAAGGTAGCTTAAAAGCGATCGTAATCAGGTTTGAAGCATTATTATTTTGGGGACAACCGTACCTTTTGATCTGACCCTGGTTGCTGCTGCTTCATATCCATTGGAAAGTGTTACTTTTCTTGCCCAGTTAAGTAGTTCTTTCCTATCCTCATCTGTACACACATTTTCAACTGTTCGGTACATAATTTCTGATGATTGCTTCTTTCATGTCTGAAGGATGAGAAGAGTTGTGTACTAGTATATTTTTACTGCTTGCTTATCGACATCTTTTTTTGTATAATTACTTTCTCTAAACTTTATTTGGATAATTAAGAGTACACTAATTGCTATTAGCTGTAAGGACAAGTTTCGCTACTCTACCTTAATTTTAGGAGCACTTGGCTGAGATTTTCGGGATGTACGGTCAAATAAAAAGTTGTGATTTACCACCGGAGAGGTTTTATCCACATCTCCATAGAGGTTATGGCTATGTGGAGTATGAAAATGCTGAGGATGCTGAGAAGGTTTGTTACTATCGTTAACTGCGTAATGTGCTTAAGTTACACTTGAGGGTCATCAATGCATTTTGACGTTTAAACCACAAATAGTTCACTGGACCGTGCTACAAAATTCTCAGTTTATATTGTTCTACATGAGATGTCTAATTTAAGACCGGAACGTTCAAGATGCCATATTTTTTAATACTCACTTATCAGTCAAAGTAAAAATGTGTATAGTTATGGGTGTTATATGTACACCCTTTTCTACAGAGTTAGATGTATTTAATGATATCATCGGAGACCTTTTCGATTCTGTTCTCATCGGCTACTCTTTTCTTTTCGATTCTGTTTTTATCGACTACTTTTTTCGGGCAAAAGAAAGTCAAATGTTTAGAGGTGTAGTCGGTCAGCAGGTCTGGTTAGTGACGAACTACTCTATACCTTGTAGAGGATATCCTTTATTTCGGATATTTGCCAAACAATGTCAAGACATCCTGACAGCAAACACGTAATCATAGTAATGCGCTATTTGAACAATAAATGAAATTTACCACTCTGTTCTATCTATACATACGCCTACTATTCAATCTTCCCACCTGACCACTTCTGCTCTTACGACTACCCAAAAAATGTCCGGCGTGGTATACAACAGAAAGTTGTTTATTTTGAATGAGTATTCTTCTACTCAGGTGGAGGTTAGCGCAGAAGTGATCGTGCCTTTCATCAAGAACGAGGCGATGGTTCCATCCGACGCGTACTTTACCAACTCTCTCGTCCCACCAGAGTAGAGAAATTAGTAGACTTTTCTGAGAACAATTTCTGAAATCCAAGTGGGAGTGCTCAAGTCTGACTATCCTTCGGCTCCAAGGAGAATCTACTCGACCAGTAGTCAACGATATCTGTAATAAGAAAGATGGAATCTCCCACACGTGAAAAGATCGAAGACCTTTGTGGATAATGAAGGCAAGAAAAAAGAATCGAATGCAAGAAGTGCCAAGTTCTGGGTATGGTCCAAATAGTAGATATGAAGATCTGCTATGTATAATGAAATAAAATAGTATTCTTCAAGTGAACTATCTGATACCGTGGGTAGGTTGCATGAGGCGAAGTTTCTTACCCCAACAAATTCAAATTTTAGACCAGCGCATGAGAACTACAAAGAGTTCTGCAACCAAGTAGACTACTTTTGGTTCGCTAAAGTCTTTAGAGTGCATTGAGGTTTTGCTATTTATAGGGGTGATCCTATCTCCCATATGTGTGGAAATCTTTTGGTCAAAGGTTTAGTTCGGGGAGTGTTTCACCCTTGTCCAACTTGGAGGTAAGGCAAAATCACTCATGTTTAATACCTCTAAAAACTGCTTAGAAAACGAAGACGGCGAGTGCTTTTGATAGACTGAAATTTTTGCACTGTTTTTAATTAAGGTTGAAAATATTCAGTGGAAGTGTTTATAACAATACGTCCGGTCTATGAAGAAGGCGAAGTTGCCGAAAAGTTATCTGTGGAGAATCAGTAATATTTGTTAACAATCTCATACCAGCTCAAAAAGGACAGTGGAATCTTATATTGGGGATCTTATTGTGTTAATAGTGAGATCAAGAACGAGGTCGGTGAAGTGATGGATACCTGATGAAAAGCTATACCAGACCGAACTGATAGCATTGCGGAAGAAATCTGGAGAAGACCATAGACTTTTCGATGTCTCAGAAAATCATTGGCCATAAACATCAATTTGTTTGAATAATTTACATCTCCGAAACCTACGGCCAACCATGCAACGAGGAACTAATACTATACCTTCAGTAAAGTTATTTTTGACATCAGCAATAGTGTTACGTCGGAATAACTCTATGGAAATGCTCACTAAAATGGTATATATACAGGGTCAGAAGTTGTCGAATGGAGCTCCCCAGTAGACGTTGAAAATGGAAGTCTGTTAGAAAGCGTCGCAACGAAATTGGCAAGACGAAAATTGAACCACTTTCTGCTTTTTTTTTCTAGAAATTCTGCACGGAACAGCGCCATTGCCTCCTTTGCACAAGATTTACTTTTCGCAATCCCTAATCTATCGTTAACTTGGGTCTTTTAAACCCATGCTATCAACTTCGCTGTGTTGCTTAGAATGCCTAAAGTTTTGAAAGTCACAAAAGATGTTTGTCTCAACAGATTTTCGGGCCGTTGTACCAGCATGAATTGGCACCACTCGTGAAAACCTAGCTTACATCTGCGCTTTAGGAATTTTGGACCAGAATGACAAAATATAATGAAGGGCAGCAGAGCAGGAAGTGAAGCTGCTGATGTCGCATCTGTGAACTCCTACGAGATTTATGAAACTGTCACTGCATGAAAAAGCGCAGTGCGGAAAGCCATTAACTTTTGATTTAACTCCTCCGCAGCCTTCTCCATGCGCTTATTGTTTCGCCATTGATGCTAATGTTCCTTCCAAAATCCGGCATGCTACCTCATCGGCTGTACTGTGCCAGTTGGGTCAGTTATAAACTTATGAACATACTACACCATAACTTTGGTTTAAAGCCATGTTAGTTTGACCACTTGGCAAGTCCGTCTGAAAATATACTGAGGAAAGCCTAACGTCTTGTGGATTCCAGCTAGATCCTACTACGTTTCCCTTCATATGCCTGACTACATCTTTGTTATTTATTTGTGTATTTGTATTTTTCAATTGTAAGTTGATTTCCTGATACTGTAAAATTGGCGTGGTTCGCTAATTTTCTCTTCTCTCGGCTGAGCTGATTTAATTTGCAGCACAATTATAGTAGACCTATGTTCTAGCATTCTATATTGAAAACTGCAATTTCAAGGCTTTGAAGTATTTCGATGGTGGTCAAATCGACGGCCAAGTGGTTAGCGTAGAACTGACGCTAAATCGCATTGTTTCCCGCCGTTCTCCACCTCGTAAAAGTCCTATCAGGCGTAGGTAAGCGGTTTATTTATGAGTCCATTCTTTTTTCAACTATTGCAAATTACTGTGGTACAGTCCTCGACGACGTTCACCGGTTGGAAGAGAACGTGGAGGAGGAAGTGCAAACCTTGTCCCACTTGGATCAAGCCGTTTTAATCGCAGTCGTTCACGTTCTCCGCGTAGAAGACGCAGCAGGTCATAATTAGGAATGACGCCTCATATCTGTTGAAAAGTGTTGGGATTGTGTTCCTGTTAATGGTATCAGACGACAATCTCTCAACATTCTTTATCACAGTGTTAGCATGCAAGTTCTCAACAGCGGAATGTACTAAATGTGTTCATTACGATGATTTGTGCGAGTCTTAAAGACTGTAACTTCTGCTATTGGCACTCGTGTTCTACTCTGTTTCTTTTGTTTCCTCCACTGTAATGTTTCGTTTCGGTAAGATTTGTTCAATTTTTTCACATTTTTGCAATGCCATTTCTGTTGGAATGAAGTTGAATAATGATTTGCCATTGAGTGTGTACAAGAGTTGCTGTAAAATCACATATCTTAAGAAGGCATTTCACGGTTCTAGTTCTCCACTCTTGCTATATGAATGGAGTTTTATGATATGTGAAAAAGAGTAATACTTTTGGAAAACACCTGTCATTCCCTAAACTTATTCAGTTGGGCTATAAACGTTAACTTAGATATGTTTACTTTAATCCTGTCATACTAAGAAAATACGCAAATCCATGATTAAATAGCAAGAGCCATTATAAATTATCAATGGGGACGAAACAGTAGTTCAGTTCCATGAGCGTGAATACTACGATGTTAAAAACGAACAATCTCAAATCTTGAACCATCGGCGAGGTTTGTTACATCTTCTACTATTGAAGTCGCAAATTCACAACGTAAGAAAGTCCCAGTAGCTCCACGCGCTGCTATTCCAGGGTTCACAATCAGTGTCTTGTTTATTGTCTAAAATGGTGATAGATCATAAGAAGATGAAAGAAGTATATGTTCAGAGAGATCTAGGATGAGAAAGTTTTATAATCTCAGTTATACGGCAAAGTGTTCACTTTAAAATGCTTGTCGCAATGCACTTGAACATCTATGAAAACATTGACAACTAGGAGACAAGAACATCGACAATAAGCAACGCAACCAGCTTACCTTGATAAATGAGGCTAATACAGAAGGACAAACAATCACATGCGGTGCACTACGTAAGCTGCAAACTTTTACGCACTCTTCTATTGAAGTTGGAAGTGCTGGTGGAAAGAGAGGGTACAAAGAACCCTGCCTAAAATGTCGAACTGTCTTAGACGCCTCAACAAAGACACGAATATGGAAGATCATGTCACTGACTCTAAGATATGAGAAGCAAGGCGGGCTATCCTATCACGATTCTCTTGATCTTCTGAGCGATGCCACTCGCTTTTGCTGAGATGTGATATTATCTGAAGATGTGGTGTAGCACGAACGTTTATTAATGGTAAACAAAACAATGAAGATAACGCTGACGAAAACTTTTACCTCACTGCTGGTGAGAGCTAACTCGACCCCGTTAATGCGAACAACACAAGGCTCTGGCACTGAATGAAGACGCTAAAAATCAAGAATCATTGGGGAACAACGCCTACTCAAAATATCACTACTGCGTACACGACCGAATTTTTTGCAAACGTCGGAGCAGATTTTTAATGGAGGCGTTGGAAAAACAGAGCTGGAGCAGGCATCACGAAACGGAGCAGGCTGTACGATCAGCTCTGTACGACATCTGCACTAAGAAGTACACATTTATAAAAGCCGACGGAATATTTTGAGTTTGTCTTATTAAGCTAAAAGAATTGGAAACTCGCCCTTCAAGAGATTTTGCTATTTTCCTCATAAGTTCATCCATTACATCTCCATACTCTTCAGAGAATTGTGGAAGCTTTATATATGCGTTTTTACGTTCAACAAACGGTCCCATCTGGAAATTTTGCTTGTTATGGTTTATCATGCAAGGAACACAAATTACAGTACAAGATCTTTGGGACGTAAAGACTAGACTTTTACTGCTATCACAGCGAGCTGTCGTGGAAGTAATAAACTCCAAAGTAATTCACAATTCATAACTGAGAAAATAATCTAAATAAAGATTAACCAGAACAAGAACATTTGGTTGCTGCTGTTTAACCATGTCAAGGAGATCACAGAGCTGTTCGTACGAACAATTTTCATTTGAAGTGAACGGTCCACAAGCGCACCATAAACGGAGATTTTCTGAAATATTACCTAGAAACGTTAACTGAGCTTCCAACACAGGACGTCACCACCAATTTATCAAGCCCTAATTAACCGTAAGATTGCTTTACTTTCTCCTTCATATATCAACTTCAAAGACGAATTAAACTTCACTACGAGCAACTGTAGCCTCATAGGAACAAAAGGAAGACGAAATTAGGTAAATAATCACTAAAGGATAACCAGGACATAATTCCGTTCGAAAATATAACACTAATTCTTTACCTTCATTTGCAGTTCGTTCAAAAGTTGACAAAGGCAAAGCATTAGGAAAAAACTGACGAGTTGCCATGAAACGATCCCCATTCTCAAATGAACCAAGCAGTGCCACTACCTGAAAGAGTAGAACAAAACACTACGTCAACTATGAGTTTTCTATGGATTCATAAATGTCTTCTCATAACGCACATCTAAATATTCAAGAAAAAGTCTTCAAACTCAAACGTAGGGAAAAGAGTTAAATCGCGGAAAACATTTCGAAAGCGTCACCTGTCCGGGGAAGATACTAACTTCAGGTAGACGACTAAGGTCTAGTTTAATCACCGTACCCGCTTCATCATCCATCATTAATGAGACACATTGGTCACTTAGTGGTAAATCCTCAGACAGATCTCTCACGATCTCGCCATAGACATGCTCAGAGCTCTAAAACCTCCATTAGTAGAGGCAATTTGCCATAATCAAAGCTCTGAGTCAAACAGAACCAGTCACTGAAAAAAAAAACTATAACAAACCGAAGAGCCTGGTACAGGAATAGACCAGCTGGAGATTTCAGAATTCGCTTGACGACACCTTGCAGCGAAGCTGGCCAAGCGCCCGCATTTTGCTTAAACACGATAAAAAGGTTGAAATTGTAAATCGACAACATCACAACAAACAAATTTGCATCACCAAGAAAGAAAAACGTAGAAATCTCAACGATATTCCGAAAAATGAAGACTGTTCTACTGAAAACAACTATAAGCTGCCCCTCCGTTTAACAAGATCAAATTCATTATGGGCACGCCACCTTCGACAGAACTTTCGTACCAACGAACATCAATGTAACATGGACATTTGCTCACCGTCAATTACGTTTGGCGCCTTATCCAATGCATATAAATGGGATGGCATAACCGAGAGTATAGTGATTCGAATAGAACTCCCCACAGCTGAACTGCTCACGAACATCTGGCCTTGCACTTCTCGTACAACAACGTTTCGTTCCATTCTGGCTTGGTACTTCGCATTTGATGGTGATGATCTGAAATAACTCAAGGCGATACCAACTCGGAAATGATACGAGTACATGCGATAATAAAATGTCTATTAAATCATAAATTTAGTGAATGATGAGTCGTAAACAGCCATGAAAGACCAATGTATCACCTGTAATTTCACTAATTTGTTGAATAATCGAATGGGAACCAGTAAAATATTCATTCGTACCGCTGCGATCTGCTCAGTGAGGGTCAGCATGTTCGATAACGCGAAGAGACTCACATTTTCATCATATCGTTTTTCAAGCGTCTCTAGCACGAGGGCACACATGGCTATGCCAACGGCAACAAACCTCTTTTCACATATTTTCCCCGTCACTTAGACGTCCCACAGCCTTTTAATTAAATGAAATGGCAATGAAAATCCACACGCACAGAAGCATATTCTATCCTTCATGAATTTGTACTATTATGGATATACGAAAAGTACAAGTAATGCCCTCAATAGAGATAGCTACCTCATTCTCCAATCTATCCGATTCCTAGGGCAAGTACATGGCGCACATGACGCGCTTAATCTTTTCCCCTAGCTATGTAGTCCTACAACTCGTGGCCGACTCGCGAATCTTATCAGCTAGGCTCACAGAAATCGAGATATAATGAACAAGTGAAGTTACTTACGCTACGGGTGCAAATGCACGATATTTGCCGGTAAGCTGAGTAGAGCCGAAATTTTCGTGGGTAGAAGTGTCAACGTCCATAGAAGAAACACTAAGAGAGGATTCATCTACGTTACGTTCTCCAAAAGTCCTTAATGAATCAACGCTGTGAAAAACTCAAAATTGAAGCTTGAAAAGCTTACTTGAAACGCTACCTCTTTGACTTTGAAGAAGAAGGTGTTAGCACTCTATCGAGGCTTTTCTTCAGTTTTTTACTCAGTCTCTGAAAAAATTGGTTAACGCCACACCAAAACAACAAAACAAAACATTTCATTACCGCTTCCATATGTTCAAGAATGCCAAGATCGATCTCCGACCTCTTCATGTTCACTGCCGATGCGAGTAGCTCATCGACAAAGTCATCCACACTGAGGTTGAACTCAGTTGCCAGCGAATTCACTGAAATGGCCACGTGTTCTGTCTCATCCCTTCACTTTTCCTAGCACTTTATACTAACAAGCAATCTTTCCATAGCCAGAAAGCAACTTTGAAATCTTTAAAAAAAACCAGCCATGGTACCTTTGTCTATTAACGCGTCACTTTCGGGCATAAAATAGCCAAATTCCGACAACGACTGAGCGATAACACCATAGTCTATGTACACCATGACAAACTATCCTGAAATTTTAAACCAAGTCTGGATTTCGGGATTAGAATTTCAAATGGAGGCAATATCAAAGGCAATACATCACAACACTCCCAATAAACATAAGAAACCTGGAAGGAAAACCCTGATGTGAATGTCGAATGTCCCGCCAGCATTCGTATTCACACACAACACGTCGCACTAGGCGCCTAAAGTGCAAGTTGTAAGCGGTGCAGCTGGTGCTTTCGTTTGCAGCACTTGAAGCGGTACGACTGAGATGTTTTCAGCATCTCTATGAATGCTTGGGTAGTGACGGTTCCACTTGAGGTTACAAATAACGTCATACATCGTCCCGAGGGCTATTATGAGACGTTCGACACTGCGTGGGCAAGTAGCAAGCGGCTCTTCGTCTCACATGTAGCGAAAGGCCGTCAGTTCACGCCACTGCTCTACCACTTGTCCAGATGCAGTCTTATCAGTTGTGTTCTCCTCTACTGATTCTTAACGTTATGGGAAAAACAGCGGGTTCGTTTTACAGATCTGAGTCCGCAAGAAATTCTTGGCAATGCTGACCTGTCCACTCGGCCGAGCATAGCTAGAATTTTTTGCTACTTTTCACCGAGAACAAGTTTCTTCTTCCAGAACAGGGCTTTGGTTAGTTCTCATGCGTTCTCAAACACAAAGTTAGCCAAAATTCATTTCACTTAAATGGTACTTGATGTGGTCGTGTTCGCAATGGAGAGGGCAGCGCAATATTAATGATCCTATTCATTACGCCAACGGCCGACCTAGCCATGCCTTGTTTCGACCCCGCACTGGGCCAACCAAGTATCTTATCTCTCCGGGATTCAGAAATTGGTACGACTTGTCTGAGACAAGTCCGTTTCCTCTAATCCACTCACGAACCGCCCAATATGGCTATCTCGGGGTTCCAAGAAAAATCGATTCGACCAGCATTCAACGACATCCGTGGCGACGACGAAAGAATCCTCAAGCAGCAACCAATTTACGCGCAAGAAGAACTTCAAAGTCCTTCATGGATTGTGCATACGAGGAAGCGAATCGAATGCAAAAGGATGATGAATTACATTCGCGAAGCGGAGATCCCAAACATCCCCATGTTATACACCTGACGAAGAATCTTGTGTTGAACTGAAACTCATTGGGTGTTGAAGACCACAACAAGTACACCAAACCGAAAGCTCCCGTTAAATCTGTGGATGCTAAATAGCGCTTCGTCTAATACTATTGGAACGCCTTAGACCCACGACGTTTGTACGTCTGTAGTAAGGACAATAATTCCCTGACCTTAAATTCCAAATACATATCAAAACGATCAAAACCGACCGCATTACAGTTTTTGGTGCAGTTTGTCTTATTTTCTGAAAGCACTTCCAAGCGTTTACATTCTTCTGGAGATTCAGCTGACAAAGCAGCGGTCTTCATGATTTTCCGTTAAGCCTTGAAAGTCGTGGAAGAAGACTGTTCACATTTGAGCTTTTTCTACTTTTATTTCTGTGGTGAAAATTAGGCACAAATTACCACAAAGGTAGAGATGTTAACAAAACACGTGCGAAATCAGTGCTTTGTGTATGCAAACAAAAGCGTAGGACTTAAAGAAGCCTCAACGTTTAAGTATAAGGACCGCGATTGATTGCTGACCATATAAACCGGTGTTTAATAACGCCCTCCCTTATCCGTGAATGTGTGGATCGTGTCGCCAGTGCCCACTTGGACAGCATCATGGTTGCTCTACTTGTTTTTTCGATCAGTGACTTTTCCCGTTGATGGATAGATGGACCTCTTTAGAACAAACAACATATACTTAATGAGTACACATCCTCGCACAGGAATCGAAAACACCAGCGCGCAAAATCCTGGAAGCATTCTGGGTAAATTCCAAGAATCCAAAAATGAGCCGCAGGGAGCAATGCTTCGTTATCACGCGTGACCTTAAAAAACGTCTGACTGAGATTATAACAAAGAGGGCCTCCAACTCATTGCTCCCCTGTATGAAGAAATGCGCTTTGCGTCATTTCGAGCCTATTTGTTTCGCGCGAGATTGTCGTATTAAACCAAGGTATACTTTGTGCTGCTCTTAAACAAATGGTAGTTACCTGAATGACCCGCCTTCAAATGACATGTTGATCCCAGCACTCATTCCAATCTTTGCGTCGTTTTCCAGTAGTCATCCAAGCTTGATGTTCAAACTTGTATTTGACCTCTGCTGCAACTTTAACCTTTGTCTTCTCCCATTAACACAAACGATGGTAGCCCAGGAAGTTCCCGGGAAACTTGGGATAACCAGGATTGAACATTCTCACATCGACAGCCATTCTAGTTACTGTGGATCAAAGAGAAGTTTACTACTTTGCAATTTGGATTATTTCAGAGCTGAAACTTACTATATATTCTTTACGTGGGATTTATACAACGTTGAAAGGAATATACACTTGGTACAAACATGCATCTGCTCCTTTCCACATGGGCAATTTCGTAACTATGCGTGCGAAATGTACGCGATCTTGGAAATGAGGAACACACCAACTCTTGCCAGATTTCACGGAAATATTTGGCAAACATTCGGAGACATCGCATGAAATAGGACCATGCTACCGTACATAACTCACAACGTATGTGACGGTACGCATTAGCTCAATGCATATTTGCGGAGGGGAGTAGGCCAAGCGTATCTTGTAGGCTAGCTTAGTACACAATGCTTGTCTTCTTGCTACATACCACACGAGACTTTTATGGTATCGTAGCAAGAACATTAAGGTTCAATAATTAAACCGTCATACATGTACATATACCTATACACCTATAAGTATCAAGTACATATACAGATAGCAAACTAATAACGGAATTAGTACAAAGAAGTTGGATTGACTAACAACATAAGCAAATAACACCGTAAGCTCAACAAAAAAAATACAAGGTGATTGATTTGACGCTGCCAGATTCAATCAAGCTCCCATCCAAGCAGTGCGGACAAATCGGAATATGTTTGGGAAAAGCTCCCTTTCATAACCAAAACCCGGTAGTTACGACTTTTGACCAGCATTCTACGACATTTATGAAGAAGAAGTAATCTTCGTCTTACGGGTGAACCAGAATAAAGATCCTAATCCTCGTGGATGACTGTTCATCACAAACTGAGAGATATATTTTTGAAGACTGAAGGCTAAACAGTTTCCAACCACGTATGCATAACAGCCAAAGAATTTACTGTGAATGTGCTAGCAAGGATGAAAGCAAGGATTTACAATTGCGAAAAAAAAAACTGTGTACTTAAATGACATCCAATGGATGCCATATTGAGTGAATAAACGAAGGGAAGAAAGGAGTTAAGTTCATTACATTCGAAAAACCGAGCTTTGTTGCGTGTGTCCGTCGTATATGAAGGTGTTGTCTAGCGGTACGTATTGATTTGTAGCCAACTTAATGACTTCTTGAGCAACGATGCCTGAAAATGATAAAGGATGAAACAAGACACTCGAATATTCATGCAGAGTAGCTGCAACTTCCAATAACATTTTTACAGCTCTATCAGCGTTGCTGGGTGAATGAATCGCACCGCTGTACATCGCAGCCCGATATCCAGGAACTCCTCCCAACCACGATGAGGAGGTAAACCGTTTATACAGTGAAAATCACAACACAAAGAATGCTTCCTGAGTTCAAACTTAGACATGAAGCAACAGTAGCAGCTCGAAATATAATCATAGCATAGAGCATAACTTTGAACACGAAAGCGTCGCTCCAAAAACCACTTAAGAGGCTTTGATAAAACAATATCTAAAGGCTAACAATGGCTCATCATTTAGAAAACAATGGATAAGTGGAAAGGCTCGATGAATGAATAGCAGCAAGATTTCCATCAAGCACTCACTCTATGCATTCTCTCACACACGAAAAATCACCCATTTCTCAGCGAGACTGTGACACGATGACCAGAGGTTTCTATATAGCAGACGACGTTCAGTATATGAGGTTGCAACGAAGTGTGGCTTCTAATGATTTTCCAAAGCCAGATCAAATTTGCATCGAAAGATAGTTACGATGTTTTAACTTATTATTTACTGCCTTCTCTTTTCAACGGAAGGGTATACATTGCGAAATATAACTTCAACGATGCTGAGAAATTTGCAAAACTCCGGACCGCAGGTGTATGCGGTGGAGAACGAACAAGCTGTTGTCCTTTCCGGGGAGTAGCGCGTTCACCACCACACCATGCGGACCCTTCGTTTCGCCTGTCTCTTAGCTAGTTCTATCGGTCTTTGTGCATGTATACCCTGCCATTAAAAAGAGCAGGCAGTAAATAATAAGTTAAAATTGTGATTAAACTGCGGCCTCAGTTTAACTGGGTTCATTACCCCTTTTTGGGCCCCCTAGATCAATCTCCCTGACCGGTGATTGCTGATGGTAAAGGATCGATAGAACTAGCTGAGAGACAGGCGAAACGAAGAACCCGCATGGTGTGGTGGCGAACGCGCTACTCCCCGGAAAGGACAATAGCGCGTTCGTTCCCCACCGCATACACCTGTGGTCCGGAGTTTTGCAAATATCTCAGCATCATTGATAGTTACGATGATTTCCTTTTTCGTTCTAAGCAGATAAAATCATCTAGTAAGAGGTCTTGAATCCTGGGAGGACGACGAATGCCGAGATGTACTATCAGAAAATCGATAGAACCGTACCAAAATTTCGGTGTACGCATTCAGATTTGGTTAAGAGAGTTTGTCTTTCTAGCATGACAACGTTCCCCCACATGTTGCGCAACTATGGCAACTGAAGCAGTTGGACTAGGGGAACGAAGCTCTGCCTTACTCATCATACCTATTGGATCTCTCGCCAACCGATTACTTTTTCGTGCATCCCGATAACTCCTTGCAAGAGAAAATCCACAGCTCCCAAGCCGCTGCTAGAAATGTCTCAAAATAATTCGTCGCTTCCGTAACTTCAGAATTCTAAACTACCGGGATAAATAAATTTTTTGGCAAAAATGTGTAGATTCCCACAGCAGTCGTTTTAACAGAGCTGTGTTATAGCCGATTTACAGCATTTCAAAGTTACGGTTCAAAATCTGCCATTCATTTTGCATCAACCACAGCCACCTTCAAAATAACTCCCTATTAAGAACTAAATTTCAAAATTTACCACCAATGAGACTTGCGACAACATGGATTTCTCCAGCTCCGTATCTGCATATCTCGGCTATTGCATTCTGTGGTACTTGCGCGATTACTGCTTCTGGATCTTCTATCTAAACGCTTGTTAAACTATCCATATGAATATGGGACGAATACAAAGACTTCATAACTAACCTGTGATAACGAAACAATGGACACTACGCGTTGTTTGAGATCTAATGCATCAATAGTACATGGTACTCCGTTGGTTCCGGGATATCTAAGTGATGTTTACACATGAATATTTTAATATCAAAGCATATTAGAATATTATTAAAAAACGAGTACGAATCAACCATGAAATAATTCAGTTTAAAGTAAAGTCACCTTCCTTTTTCACGGTGAAACTTATCGACAGCCTTTAGTAGCAGAAACCAGACAGCGGCCGATACGTGTCCGTTTTCTTCCGGCTGATTTACAACACCATTAAGAACTGCCTAAACAGACAGAGTTTCAAAGACTTCGCTGCCCTGAAACGCACTCATTTTTATAAAATTGTCATCTGTAATATTAGAAAATGCTTTGCATCCCAACTAAAGAAGCCGCACTGCTACCGATTCCTTTCCCAGCGGTTTTTTCAGCCTCTCCCAACGGTTTACTGCCTCATCGCGGCTGGGAGGTATTCCTGGGTGTTGGACTGCGATGTACAGCGGGGGATTCGTTGCCACAGCAGGGTCTCGCAAGCTGAAAAGGAGTCCGGCGTTTCCAACAGGAAGCCTAGCAAAGAGTAAACAAATACCAAGATCCATCACCGTCCTGGTATCAAGGTCGCATGGTAGCAAATCTCCCTCAGATCCACAAGGGTTGCGACTGCTCGTGGTGGTGGAAAACTGGTGCAAACTTTGGCCAATCTGACCCCAGGATTCCAGGGAACCACAATAGCTTAACCAGCAAATCTCCAAAAATGGTGATTATGCTGGGACCTGCACAACCAGTTAGGACGGGCCGTTCAAGTATCAAGTAGTATCAAGTTTCTTCAGATAAGGAATCTCATACCTGCAACAACTACTTTCTTTTTCTCAAGGAACTACCTCACCTAAGAGGCATCAGTCCCGTCAGTCACGTAGTCATGTGCTTATTCTTTATTGATAATGGGAGATTAAACGTAAACGAACGCGATTATGCACGTGCTCTGAGATAAAAACTAAGGTGATGTTCCCCTGAGTGCGATGCAGCGGACTAAATACTTCCCACTGGTGCATATGTAAATGCATGAACATATTACCGTATATCCAGAACGTATCTGAACGCCGACTTCACAGAGGGTCCACGATTACCTTCAAACAAAGAGAAATTCCACATATTTTTGGAAATCCTGCTTAACCACCTGTTGGCAAACGTGTCACCAAAAGAAAAAAAGAACTACGGCTTTATGTTGTCCAGTTCAGAAACACTACTGGGACAACTTACTTGATACTTGATAGTTGAACGGCCCGTTATCGCTAATTGTGCGGGCCTCTGCATAATTAAAGTTTTTCGGAGATTTGTTGGTTAAGCCATTGTGGTTCCTTGGAATCTCGAGGTCAGTCTGGCCAAAGTTGGCCCCAGGTCGTCACCACGACAGGCAGTCGCAGCCCTTGTGGATCAGAGGAAAATTTACCACCATGCGATTTTGATATCAAGACGGTGATGGATCCTGCTATTGGTTTACTCTTAGCTAGGCTTCCTGATGGAAACGCCGGACTCCTCAGCTTGGGAGACCTTGCCGAGGAGACGAATTCTCCCGCTGTACATCACAGTCCGACACCCAGGAACACCTCCCAGCCACGATGGGGCGGTAAACCGTTGGAAGGGAAACCAAAACCTAACTGGGACAACAACGATGAGAGAGTTAGAAAACTAATGGAGTGGGTGCACAAACGCATTTCACCTGCACTTTTTGTTGCCCACGTCAGCTTTATCGTCTACGAGGTCTCCGTTTATCTCTGCCGCAAGCTGCAGCTCTGCTCACTCGGAGCACATATATAGCCGGCATCACATTTTTCGAGGAGACCTTTTATTTTCGCAACTTTTGGGAACAGAGCAACTACAGGTAGCATGTTCAGCTGTGATGCTGAGAATATTCACACTTGACCTAACCAATTATAGATTTATGATTTATGATTACGATTTATAAGTCACCTATTAATGTATCTATACAAAATTTCTGGTGCACAGCCACCAACATCAAGAATGCGTTTGCTAACAACATTTGTGCTCATTAGATAATTTCGCGCCACACTCGCGTCTTGATCAATGAAATACTGCCTGTTCTATTGCCTAAGTTTCATTGCAATGATAAAAAGATCATTATGGGCCTAGATAAACAGAAATAAAACGATAAAGCTCTCGGCGTTTAATCAATCCTTCAGAGATGCGCCATGCATTCGACTTCACTGAGCATCGTTTGAAGGTGATTGAATATCTGGCCTTTACAATAACTCGCGATGGCCTGCCGATGTACCGAGCCAGTGCTGCTATCTTCCCAGAGTAGTCTGGTACCAATTTGCCGACCCCGGAAGGATGGAAGGTTTGGTGGGCCATGCGCGCGGGATCGATTCCACATGTGTTGTAGAGCGATGGGATATGTCTTCTTAAATTATTTGCGACCGCGTTGGTGTTCAGAGAACTTGCGATGGTTCCTCTATCACTAGTGCTGTTGAGAAGTGGCACACTTAGTAGCACGTTCACAGGTTTATGGAAGAGATCCTGCTCTGTCGTATTAAAGGCATATGTAATTTGTATAAAATACTAACAATTTGAAATTTTGGAAAAAAATTTTTAAAAAATTAAAAAAAACTGAAGTCAAGAAGGCACTTCATGGATGTTCCTATAATGAGATTTCATCTGCGTGAACTTAGATATCTTATGTGTGCCTTACAAAAATCTGTGGGTTTTAGTGGTTTTTATTCTAGTCGATAAAGTTCAGACCAGCTGTTTAATGCTGCGTCCATTACTTTTGTAGCGCGCCTATAGAAATAAGTAGTCACAAACAAATTAGATACAAAATCCTTAAAATACTTGGAGACAGATATGCAGTAAAATCTTGCCTAGAAAGGACCACGAAGCATCTAGTTCCGAAAACATTGGACATTTGAGAAAATGATACGGGTATCGAAGATTTGAAGAGGCCAGGAAACACTTGTCACTGCTTAATTAGCCCAATGTTAAACACTCCTGTATTGCTAAACACACAACCCAAATGATGATGCTAAAATCATCCGCAGTGATAGAAAGGGTTGCAAAACTCGGTCTAAAGTTAGAAGAAGAGCTGTCACACAATCCAATAGGTTGAACTTCAATATGGCCGGAAAGAACCAACAGGTGAACGGCGATCACTGATTAAAAGGCATCTCTTACTGAACTCAATGCGATGTCGTGCAGAAAAGGAAGATGAGGACCACCCTTTCAACTTTCAACACAATCAACTTTCTTGGTGATAAGTCTGAGGGAAAGACATGATCACCTTCCTTCGACAGTGTAGAACGCAACTCTCCGATATGCGATGGCAAGGAGTGGTAATTTTAGTGACCTTGTACAAATGATACAAGTGAAAGGCGAAGATATAGAGGCGATTAAACTTCTTACCTGAAATGCCTCTAAAGAATCCTTTTCTGTACCTCTCTGCAAACGAATACCACGTGCATTTTTGCAAAATCGATAGCACAAATCTTCAGTTATAATTTCTTGAACACCTAAATCCAATCTTGATATAAGACATTGTAGAACACTGAAGTACGAATGCAATGAAACATCTATGAAAAAAGAACAAGAGACGAGTTTCTCTGTGAATAGTGGACAGAGAGTCAAATATGAAGACGAATTTGAGTTCAAAACGATATGTTAAGCTGAAGAATCCATAAATGTTCAAAAAGTCTATGATCCGAAACAAACGGTCAAACCTCTTTCTTTCTCAATGTTTTTTGTGTGCTCGAAAACCTCTGTAGCATCAGAAAGGGCCTTCTCGTGGAAAATTGAAGCTAGGTGGGAATACCTGAATTTCCTATTCAAACTATGCTTTTAAAGGTGGTCTTTCTTATATAGCCTTGACATTATCAAACGCCTGCGGATATAAGGACCAGGTTTTCAAAATATAAATACTTCGTGACATAATCTGACACTCGGTAAAAGCAGACCTCATGCTGTCACTTGTCATATCAGGAAGCATCCCGGTAAGAGGAAGAACACCATGGGCGTTAACGAATCGCCGAAGTCCTGCACATATAAGCCAAAATGGTACCACACACTGCGAATGGTCATCACAGTTCTCATCCATGAGAATATCCATCACATGGCGAGGAACCTTAACCTTAGTGAATCTAATGTTTTTGTCTTAAGATATGGCTACACGGTCCATGCATTATAATGAAATACGAATTGATTTGGAAAAATTCGTTGTCAACATTACCTCTGTTTTCTGTAATGAACGAATCAATGCAGCCTTAGCCTCGGTAAAATTTTCAGAATCTAGGGAACCAGAATCCCCTTCACGTCGCATTTTCCAAAGAATTTCGAGGAAACGCTTTCGCTCCGCATAATTATCAGGGAAAGCGAGTTCGTCTCCTACAACCTGAACGGCCACCTTTAGGCTTGAAAGCGAGAGTAAAATGCTGCCCTGCTGGAAACTGGAAAGACCTAGTGCACACTCTGAAAAAAGAACAATAACGTTCTTGTAAAAAACACACATTCTTGTATTGCCGTAAAGCTATCAAGTACAAAACAATGTATGGTGTATGTCGGAGTTCTTCCAAGGTCATCGACTCGAGATTAGTGTTCGCAACCATCTCGAGCAATTTTGGGAATGGTTTATCAATGCTAAAACATTCAATTATAGACATTTCATAACATTAATTGAACCTTCGCCATTATTCAAAAACGCACCGCAAGTCTGGAAGAGCATTTTCTTCATGGTTATTTGCTATGGTATGCTCTTGAACGAAAACACGAATGTAACCAAGAAGTCCATACACCCTTAAACTCGAAAGCCTGACAGTATTCAATTTTGACCTTCTCCTCCTCCATGTATACACGTATATCTTTATTTTTGAAAACAGAAACAAACTATGGGCATTGAAATTAACTACTCTATTGCACACAAATTGCCCACAAATAATCGTTATGAAAGCGTGTTAAGAAAAGAACTTACTCGGATACTTGTATGACCAGTCTTCGCTGGTTGCGCAGGCTATAGCATAAATCCCATTTTTTCGGAGTTTTGCTGGCTTTGCCATTATAGTTCCCTGGAGTTCCGGTGTTAGCCAAGGCAAAGTCTGCCCAGGTTATTACAATCACAGGCAGTCGTCGTCCTTGCGGATCAGGAGGAGATTTACCATCATGCAACGAGTCTGATACCAAGAACATCGTAGATCTTGGCATTGGTTTACTCTTAGCTGGGCTTCCTGATGAAACACCGGACTCCTTCTCAGCTTGGGATACCCTGCCAGGGGGTAAATCCTCCTGCTGTACTCGCAGCCCGACACCCAGGAACACTTCCTAGCAACGATGAGGCGGTAAACTGTTGGGACGAAAAAAGAACTAATCTTCATAATTTTGGTAAAAATTCAAAACCCATTTATAACACTTTATGGACCCGTTTATAACAAATGTTCACGATTAATATCGACTTTTACAATGAAAACGGCTCCAACCTCGTTGATATAAAGGGAACACTGCGTGGAAATAGAAATGAGGATATCTTCGATGTCACCTCCTTTGGCAAATTAGTTCCAACTACCACGTGAAACTGCAGTAGAACTGTCATATCCTGTTCTGATAGATTAAGTGGGGATAACAATAAACATTCTACGAGAACCGATGGATTCAACTCCTGAAATGTGTATAATACATAGATACATGTAGTACAAGTCAATGATTAAGTCAATGTCAATGGACCCGCATGGTGTGGTCGTGAAAGCAATAGTCCAGGGTAATAGCGCACCTTGACTAAGCCAATGATTAAGCTTCCATTCGCTACCACTTGAGAGAGGTACCACTTTATAAGGATCTCGTTCATAAGGCACAAGCTTAGGAAGCAGTGAAATACAAGAATAATGGTATGAATAGAAATCAAATTGATATAAATGGGAAGCAATACAAAAAAACGGTCTAATTAACAGAAAGTGCAATACATCTGACCTATTTCATTAATACAATGTCACATTCTCACTGAGAAAACCTATTGTGTACAGCAATTTTTATTCGAACTTTTCATTTCCTGACTATTCCTCTCCCATGGCAGGGTATAATGTGAAGTACAATCAAAAATATGCCGAGATATGAGCAAAACTCGTGACCTTGGTTGGATTTTGAATCCGTGATTACTTTTACCGGGGGTCCACGTTTTACCTATCACACCAAGGAAGGCCCTTGATTTGCCTTTCTCTTAGCCAGTCTTTTACTCTACTGAAAGCAATGAGAAAAAACTACTCATCCCACCTTCAAGTACTCAACTGTAGCAGCTGCTCTTGGACGACCAATATCTGACTGACGAAGGAAAAAATTCTGTCCAAGGTCGGGCATCCGAACAAGTTCACTGTCCATAACACAAACAGATCGAACTCCAGCCAACACAAGACTTTTCAAAATCTCAGTACCTGAATAAGAACAATAGCAATGGTGGAGTTTCAGTAAAACTAGTGCATTCTAACCTAATGTCGATGACCCCAAAACGCATACAGATGTACGAGAGATGGAATTTTGCCCTTCTTCTCCCCAAAGTCGCAGCTGACGGTCGTAGCGCACTTCGTCAAGCATCGAACTTCAGATGTTGATGGACAAATTGCAGTTAAAATATAAAATTTGTACGGACAACAAAATAATCAACAGAAATCTGAAGCCGCGCTAACGAAAAAGTCAATAAGGAACAACAAGATTATCTCAGATCTTATTGATCAAAAATGTAAGAAATGAATGCATACAGCAATTACAGCAGCTTTCAAGGCTATACAAATATAAAATCAGCAATAGAAATGCCTCCTTCACACTAAGCTAACATCAAGACGGACACGAAGAACGACTTATTAGAGACTCTTCCTTTCCCACTTCTGAGTGACAAACGTTTCAGGTCGAAGGTATGTCAGTTCCTCATGTTCCGTTTTCATGCACACATATCGGCCAAGCACGAAAAGTAAGTCGCTCATTCTGTAAATCCAACAACTGATGACGAAAGCAACCGGCAACGTGCTAAGCGAGGGAAAAACCTCGAGAAAACGAACCTGTTTAGAAATTTGACCGCTTTTGGGTCGATTTGTTCGGTTCGAAGAAGAGAAACAGCACTGCGCTCCGCCCTACGACAAACTGCTCGCGCATACTGCAGATGAGCTGAGGTAATTCCTCCACCCTAGCAAAATGTAAACATTTTCGAAGCAACGAAGGAACATCGCACAAGGCTGATCTTATCGGAAAACCGGAAGTACTTACAGATAAGATGAACTGCCGCAAAGGTGGCACTTGATCTCCAAATCGATCGATTTCAGCATGAATCCATTCGACCATTTGAGGATCAATTAGTGTTTTCTCTAAAGTGCTTGATGTTGTGGGGCATGTGGTGTTTGGAGGTTGCCTACGGTCGACTCTTCACCTTTGTGCTTTTCGGATGTCTCAGGTGGAGTAGCTATATGTGCTCCCACATCCTGAAGACAGCACTGCAGACGTGTGAGCACATCCGCTACGTCAGCTATCGCATCCTGCGCCGCTAGTTCGCGACACACACCAAAATTGAGAGTGTATTGAGCACAATGCATATTAATGGAAGCTAGCAACAGACACTAAGATGATAACGTGCCGAGAATTCTGGTTCAGTCTACGTTAATGTGAGCCACAACAGCTGTTGTACAAATATTCGACCTCTCTACATTTAGCCGTTCACCATTGTTCGCGGATCCAATGCTGCCACCAAATTCCCTTTTCAATTATCTTTGTTCATATTGTAATAGTACTCAGGATTGACTTTCTATTAACCTCGGCATTGGATTATACATTCGTCGTTTTCTCTCTCAGCAATCGCGAGGTTGACGACTCGTCAACCTTATGAGACTCTGAGCGGCTGTTCTTCATCGGTGGAAGACAGGTGAAAAAAAGCGGCTCTGAAGAAGGCGATTCTGCCGAGAAGTCAACTACGGTCGTGTTGTATGGGTGTTATTGCATGGAAGTAAACGTATGCTGTTTAACAACCTTGTTCATATTCTTTTAAATTGCTTCAGTTTACATTAGCTTGACTTCAACTGAACACTTAAGCTGCACAGGAGTTCACAAGGGATTACTTCTTACTCTTAAACCCTTGTCTTGCCTATAGTTTCCTCCATTCACAGGATGCTTTATACCTACTTCTTGTTGTAGACTTGCTAAATCTGAGCCTTTGGTTGCGTGCAAGTTTAGTAAACTGACCAAAAAACTTGGCTCGGCAAATAGCCATCTACAATGGCTACGAAATAGTAACCCCACGAGATAAGTTTACAAGGAGAACGACGCGCCCACGCGAAACACTTGGCCGAAAGAAAGTCCCGCTCACGTTGCCTTTTATAAGCGATGAAGTAAGCGTAGCTATAAAACGATGCTTAAGAAGGGCAAGTCTAGAGGAATCGGTAGCGATAGTTGAAATACCACCGGCTACTCTACGTCGCCAATTAGTTCGCAACCGCCTGTATGACCGTCTGTGTGAAACAACAAATTGCGTGATTTGCCCTTACGGCAGGGACGGTGATTGCATGAGTTCAGGTACGATATACCTGATCTCTTGTAATAATTGCGGAGATGAATATATTGGCGAAACGGGCAGACCTTTGTGTATCCGTAAAAAGAACACCTAGATGGTAAACGAAAACTAAGACGAAGCACTCCACTAGGCACGCATTGGATACAAAAGCATAGCGGAGACGATTTTGAAGTAAAAGTCAATATCCTTGCACAGGAGTCCAAAACACCAGCGCGAAAACTCCTTGAGGCTTTTTGGATCAATGCCAAAAACCCTACAATGAATAGCAGAGATGAATGCCCGGAGGTCATACGCGACCTGATCCCGTACGTTCGCATCGATTTTTGATGTGAGATGGTGCAGTCGTCAACCACATGCGACTATAATCAGCTGTTCTAAACTTCCTCATTGGAAGTCACGAAAAAAAGCGGTAAGTTTTTCGAGAAGCTGTTGATCATGTAATTACCAAAGAGTCTTTCGTCTTTGTGTAAGTGTTATTGAAGCGTTTGGCCTAGTAGATTGTATATCAGTATACCTTTCCAGGCTCTGAAGAAGGCGATACTGCCGAAACGTCAGCTAGCGTTGTATTGTATTGTGTTTTTCTATGGAAGTAAATGTATGCTGTTTAAAAACCTCGCGATTGCTGAACAAGAAAACGACACATTAGTAAACTGAACTATGAAGCGCTGTGGCGTAGCGCAATCAGGAACTGATGCCTTTTACCTTTAAAGAAAGGACCTGGCTTCATGCATTATATCTAAGGATGCATCTGGAAAGTTGAACAACGTAACCCGGGCGAAGGTATTGACAAAGTTTGTCGGTCATCCAGGTTTAGGACCAAGTGCCTGTGTTGATGAGGTGAGCAATAATCGCAATACTATCTTTTTGCTCCTGTAATAAACGTGTACCTAAATGTCCTCTTTCACATAAATCAGAGTTTATTTGAATAAACTGCAGTGTCTCCAATTTATTGCTTATTAGTATTCTCTACTACGGGGATGTGTAGCCTAGCAGGTAGTGAATAGAAGTGTTCTGCAATAGACATGTTGTTTGTTCGATCACGCGCCCAATGCTCACCAAGGTTTTCCACCTCTCCGAGGTAGACAAATTGGTAGCAAACTTATCTAGGAGGATAAAGGATAAAAAGGATGAAGCTCTCGGCGTTGATCAATCCTTGAGCAATGCGCCATGCATTCTACTTCATTAGGCATCGTTTGGAGGTGACTGAATGGATATCTGCCTTTTACAATGACTTGCGGTGGCCTGCCGATACACCGAGCCAGTGCTACTATCCCAGACAAGTCTGGTATCAACTTGTCGACCCAGGACGAATGGAGGGCTTGGTGGGCCTTGGAAGGAGGGATCGATCCCGCGTGTGTTGCATGGCCCCTCCGACCACTGCACCACACGCGCTCTTTCTAGGAGAATAGCAGCACTAATTTGACCCATCGACAGGCCACCGCAAGTCATCGTAAAGGCTAAACATGCATTCAATCACCTCTATCTATGCTCAATGAAGTGCAATGCATAGCACATCTTTCAGAGATCCATTGACGACGAAGACTCTATCCTTTTCATTCTATCCCACGTAATGAATAAAACTTTGAAAACCACCTTCGCTTCGCTTTGCTGTACCGCTAATCCTATATAGGTGAAAGTTATCCGAGAATAAATACTGCCCTTTTTCTTTTGACTTTCCATGGCAATTTGTTTTGTTGGTCTCAAACGAGTAGTCCAGCTATGCCATTTTAACGAGAGAAAATGTTTCAGAAAGCGGTGCTTCTTCGAATAGTACATGATGCAAAAGAGTTGTACTCCTATAGTGTGACATTTGTTGATAGTAAATATTATGATTTGAAATACCCTTCGCTTATTCGAAAGTTATTTGCAGTTGATAGAAAGGATAAACGGTCCGGTGTTGATTGATCCTTGCGTGAAGCACCGTTGTGTATTCGGCATGACGAAATGCATATTTGGCCTGACTGACTTGAGGTGACCTACCGATGAATCAAGTCATCGTCTTTTTGTCCTCACATACAAGTCTGATAGCAAATTAGTGGGCCTCGACAGAAGGAAACCTTAGCTTACCCGAAGCGCGAGATCGAACCGAAGAGCACGGGTCATAAATCACCTGGCAATAAAGACATTCCTGTAAAATTGAACCACAACACACTATGTTCTTGTAAAGTGATGGCTCAGATATTGCGCTGATAAGTCTAACAAAGTTACACCCAAAATACGAGTTTGATCACTTTCCAATTGTAAATACTGTCTCAAAGCCCTGATGTATCTCTCCGGCTTGAGCAAAGGCGTTTCTGAGTGTGGCAGTGTGGGGTACGACAGAGTTCATTCTCCCAGAAGAGGACAGGCAGTTTGAGTTCAACAAGCCCTACCAAGACTTTTGATCCAGTTGTAACATGCTTGTGGTAACCGCCTAGAAAACCCCCGTGTGGTTTCTTCATTCCTTCAAGACTCATGCGAAAAACCATACCATATTGGGATTAGCATAACATATACGGATGGTGTATTAAAGAATAAGTAACACTATGCTCTTTTCAAACTATTTCTTACTATATCCATGAAAAAATTTCTGAGTAAATTCGAACGCTTCGATAATTTTTCAGAGTGTGCTTTAGGTGAACGTCATGGTTGTTTAAGGTTTTGCCGAAGGTTTCCACTTCCTACACCAATCTCCTCCATTTTTGTGTTGTCACAACTAGTAGATTTTTCTAGTTTTGCCTTCCTTAGGTAATGGACATAGTTCCGCGAAATAGAAAAAAACGTTAAGTCGAAGAATTATCCTAAACGTCTCATGCATATTTCCCGGTTTGAAGCCAAGGACAATCATTGTTCTCGAAAAGCATATTCCACACTTAGACCACCACGTAAAACAAGCTGGAGAAAACAAAGTAGAACAGAGTGCACACCGAGCGCTTATTTCTTGAAAGAAATTATGAACTTACTCCCATATTCTTCTCAGTCATCTACTTAGTTTCTTGGTTGAATCCAACGTGCACGATAAAAGGACAAAGGATAAAGCTCTCGGCATTTATCAATCCTTGACGAATGCACTATGCATTTGACTTCACTAGGCATTGTTGGAGGTGAATAAATGCATATCTGACCTTTACAATGACTAGCGGTGGCCTACCGATGCATCGAGCCAATGCTGCTATCCTCCTAGACAAGTTTGATAACACTTGGTGAGCCTGGGGCGTGGGGATCGAATCCGTGAGCATTGCAGGGCGCCTTCGACCACTGTACTAGACACGCATGATATAATCCACATACAAGTATCAAGAAACGTAATCACATGGTCGGTTTTCTTTCCCACTCTTTACCTGCACCATCAGAAGAATGAGAAGAACAAATCACTGCTTTCACAACTAGCCAGATTAAAATTCCTCACTGAGCTTTGTGCTAACTCATTCATTTTTTGAAATCCGGTTTTTGTACCTATTGTCACACTGCTTCTACAAAGTTGAATAAACAAACGAGTTAGAATACACTCAGAGACATGCTTGTTTGTCCATGTGTCTTGGTAAGATAGAAGATATATGACAGGAAAGAATCCAAAATAACCGGTACTTTACTCGCTTAAAAAGGAAAACTAGTTGTAACAACGGTTCTTCACATGATGAGTTATTTGCCGTCGCTTCTACCTTCAATAGCAACCTTACATTTATGCAAATATTCGCTAAGGTTAGAAGAAATAACGAGATCGTAATTCATAATAGAATGCAACAAACCCAAGCAATGATGAAAGCTCATCCGTGTTGCCCAAAGCCATAAACCTGTTGTCGTCCTTCCAACGGCGCTCATTGTTGAATAGACTAGATTTTCCAGAATCTCCAGTACCACGGCCTGTGACTTATGTGTAGACGAGGGGTTAATTAAATTTCAGAAAATGAAAGCGTAAACTATCTTTGGAATTTCAAGGAATCGCAGATGTCCTTCTCACCTTGCTTGAAACCTCGAGCCATTGTGGGAGCGGAAGTGCTGATCTGACGGGAAAACACCAAAACGTGGGTTGGATGGACGAGACAGTGAAGACGGAAAAGCACCATAGCCCAAAAAATACATGCTCATTGAAAACTCCACAGCGATGACTACAACCAAAGAGATACAGATTGGAAAGAATAGGAATAACCGTCTGTGAGCTTATCTCGGAGTTCTTTACTCTCTAATTCCTCTGAACATAGTTTGATAACCTATAAAGGATAAGGGATAAACCTCTCGGCATTGATCAATCCCTGAGAGATGTGCCATGCATTCGACTTCATTAGGCATCCTTGGAGTGATTTAATGCATATCCGGCCTTTATAATAACTCGCGGTGGCTTACCAATGTGTTGCGCCAGTGCTGCTATCCTCCATACAAGTCTGGTACCAACTTGCCCAGTCCTGAGGGATGGAAGGCTTGGTGGGCCAGAGGTGCGGAGATCGATTCCGTGTGTGTTGCAGCACGCCTCCAACTATTGCGCCAAAACCGCCCTGTGGTAACGTATAAACTAAATCAATGGTTGTTCACGAATCAGGGTAACTAGCCAGTCAAAAAAAACGAACTTCACTTTGGTAACACCCCCTTTTTAGAAAAACGAACTTCCCGTTCTTTTTGCTGATCTAGGACTATCACTGGCTCTTACGTACATTAGGTGGGACAACAGATGAGTAGGAAGATTGACTAGACTTTTCGTTTTACTCATTAAAATTCCCATGTTAACCAGCACTGACTAACCTTGCAAAGTGTAATGTCGACTGTTTTCTATATAAAATTAAACCTATTGGATTTCAAATGCGTACAAAAAAACTGCGCATAACTCACAGTCCAGTTACAACAACATTTCCACCACGCAGTATCTAACGCAAACATCGATAACTTATTACCGAATTTTCAGATAGAACTGGCTCGTTGCTATGTTCACCAACTCCGCTACATTTTCTAAAGCACTCGATACCGTTACAAACATTCATTTAAATAATCTCCTGGTCTGGTCATCATATAATGTTAGTGGTTTTAGCGCCACCCGTAGAATCAGCAGAAAGAAGTGTACAAGTGATTGTTAATGAACGACACTGAGTGGATCGCTCGAGGTTGGCGAACATTATTAACTTCTCTACGGTCTAAGCTTCTATCACAACTAAGTCCTAATATTCGAAAACAACAAAAAAAAGCAGCACGGCGAAAACAACTATGTGAGTATTGATTGAGCAACGGGGATGAGGTCCTAGAATGAAACGTGGTTCAGAAAACACTGAAATAACAGTCACAACTGCAATATCATTACTAGCTATGAAATCGTTGGAACTCGTATTAGAATGACTGGTGTAACAAAACATAAACAGATAGCGGATGTAGATTAAAATGGTACGGAGAAGGGTAAAGGTCAAAGGAAAAAAGGAATGAAATACACTTGGATGTAGTAATGATCGAAGAAGATAACATTAAAGCAGCGTAAAAGTGTGATTAATTAAGCGTTCCACGACAGTTTGGGGCACCACAAAGACAGTCCACCTTGTCTTCTTCGATCGGAAACTTGTAGTCGTATGTGATTTCGTCTCCTTTATTTATGAGGGTCTTGCTGTATATCACAATACGCTTGTCTCCATCAACCGTAACCACCTTAAAGAGACGAAATTGAAAGTTACCTTATCATAGCTATTTACTACGGAAACAATATTTAAATGACAAACCTTTGCGTAACAATTTGGCTGGCATGAATGGTTTATAAATCGAGCAAAGTTCCCCATACGGGTGGCATCGATAACCTAAAAACATAAATTGAAATGAAAGCCCAAATAAAAGTAATTAAATCTTGACTTTATTAACTAGTTTTCACCGCATCTTTCAGTATCTTTCATAAAAATGTAATGGCAATCAACAATATTAGATATTTACGACATAAATACATAGCATAGTGCTAGTTCGACTCCGCTCCGAGATCACCAAGCCGTTCATCTCCGCGTGGTCGGGAAATGGTACCAGATTTGTCCGGGAAAAAACCACTCGCTGTAGTGGAATTGGAAACGCTCCAACCCGGCTATATCAGGACTCCATGGAAAATCGACTCGACCAGCATTCTACGACATTCAAAATGAAATGAAAATCCTCAAACAGTAGCCGAAGTCACACGTAAAAGTTAGATGATCATCGTGGATAATGGAAGCGAAGGAACGAACTGAATGTGGGAAGTACTGGCACGGACACAGTAGACGTGAAGGTGGGTCATATAAAAATGATATATATCCTCCACAGTCCTTCCTCCTAATTTGTCACATCTCTACTGCCCTACAACCCATTGGTATTTCCTTAACGAATCCAATAAACAGTTCTTGGTGAGCATGCCTCATTTGTGTGGTGTTCCATTGACAAGAAGATCCGTCTCGGTGCGATTATGAAGACACCAAATCGAAGAGAAGAACAGCTATGAACCATCGACTCAGATCATCGGCTATGATGAAGATGACGTCGATACGTCAGCCGAACAAAAGTTGTTTAACAACCTCGTGTAAAATCAACAACTTAAAACCAACAAACAATGTTTAGTCATCAATTCCTGTATTTACAAGCTTTATTACGTTAAGTGCGAGGAGCGAATAGCGCAGGGATATTGATCCTGTTCATTGTGCGAACAGCCTAACCTATCCAGACACTTGTTCAGAGATGATCCCCGTCTACCGAGTCTCCCATTTCTCTGGGGTATGAAACTTGTTACGAGATTAGTCAGGGAGAAACGGATTACTCAAAATCGACATGGAAACGACGTAGCACGGTCAGATGAGGAATCCAGTAAGCACAGACTCGACCAGGATTCAACGACATTCGTGACGATGACGAAAGAATCCTTAAGCAGCAACCAAAGCCACAACCGAAAACATCCAACACCCCCATTAAATAGTTGATGCGCAAAAATGGGTCAAATGCAAGAAATGCTGAAATCAGCGCAGTGTTATACATGTGATGTTGGGCTATATACTTATTTGGATAACTCGTCTTCACCGGTTGCGCGGACCCTAGCATAAGTTCCATTCTTTTGAAGTTTGGCTGGTTTAGCCATTGTCGTTCCCTGAAATAACGAGGTCAGCCTAAACAAAGTCTGCCCCAGGTCGTCACCACCACAGGCATTCGCCGTGCTTGTTGATCAGAGAAACATTTGCCACCATGCGACTAGTTCGACACCAGCACGGTGATGGATCCTGGTACTAGTTTACTCATAACTGGGCTTCTGGATGGAAACTTCGGACCCCTTCTCAGCTTTGGAGGTCCTGCTGCGGGGATGAATCCCCCGCTGTATATCGCAGCCCGACACCCAGGAACACCCAGCCACGATGAGGCAGTGAACCTTGGAAGGATTGGGCTATATAACAAAATAAAAAATTATGCTAAGCTATATGTTATGCACGGTTGACAAAACTTAAAATTGCTTACAGTAGTATCATCAATTCGAAACAGATAACTACTACCGATTCCACGTCGCTCGTAAGCTTTTTCGCGTACATCGGCCACTGTATTTCGTATCTAGAAAGGCAATTGAGTAGTGAAAACCATCAAATCACACAAAACTGAACGGTGCTATCTATCTACAGTGCAGCATCAAATCATCACTGGTGCTAGAAAATACATTATTGTAAGCTGAGCCAAGCTAACTTGTTAATTTAGTAACCTTCTGTCCCACGTATTCCACAATCATATCATCTGGTGCTATTGGTTCCATTGCGTATAATCCCCAACCATGAATTCTTGATCGAGCAAATTTGATCATCTTTTTACGATACTGCAAAAATAAAAATGGACAACATGTTGTGTCCAAAAAAGAACGTATTGTAAACACATTGGTACTTAAGGAACACCATTTCATCACAGATTTTTCCAAATGAGAGCAAAATGCTCACATTAAATGAGAAGCCCATTTCTCTACCTTAAGCTGATTGACTTTAAAGAAATCCGTATTCGTGTCTCCCATTGTGGTTAGAAGTCGTCGATGCATCGAACGAGATTCTTTAGTGAGTACAACATTGTGCCGAACGGCAGCCTCATCCTATAAAAGCAATTTTATTACGAGCTTTACTAAAGTGCCTAGATTTGTTATCACATTTTAACAAATAGGATAGGCGCCGCACTGGTAGTGATGTCGTTCATCACGATCAATCAACTGGTTCGACCTCACACTAGCTCATCATACCTCTGATCTCACTGGAATTGGGAAATTGCTACTAGACTTGCCCTGCAACAGCTCACTCCGTGCAATCCAAGTGGGTACGCTCTAGCCCGGCTATCTTAGGACTCCAAGGAGAAACACCTAACCAGCATGTAACTACAATCATAAAGGATATGACAACCGTCAAGCTGCAGCTGAACCCACGCTCAATAGGGGGTTCGAAAGCCTTCGTAGACGGTTGTGGCAAGGAAATGAATCGTATGCAAGTAGTGATAGGATCCGTATGGTAGATGTGAAATACGGTTAGTATAAAAACAAAATTTCAATGAACAGTGAACTGCAGCATGGGCCAAGACATCGAAGGTCGGATCGGTTGGACGGGAAATTTGTTTTAATGAGAAGAGGTGAACAATATCCCGTGATTATTTCGCCCCACAAAAATGTTAAGCGCAATATTGCATATCTACTGATCCTACAGTCAACTTCTTTTCCAAAACCCATGATACAAATACGATGGTTTTCACGTCTCTCTCCCCAGCAGAACTCATTAGTCCCTACTCGAATCACTTGAGGATCCATGAATGGAGATGTGATACACTTAACTTCACCGAATACTTATTTTGCGGCAAAAGGAAAACCATCATACAACGCATGAATTAAATTACTCTTTCTCGTTAATGCAAAAGCTACACACTCGTTCGCTTATAACTGTCTTGTCATATTGCTCGTCTTCTGGCCGCCTGATAAGCCGTCGCTTTTCCTTTGCAGACAACCTGAAGAAACCACGAGTTCTAGCGCAGCCATCTTCATTGGGTAGTATGCCGTCCAACTCCGAATCAGCATAGTAGAGGTCCAAGCCCCCTTTCTTGATAGGTTTGCTCTGCAACAAAGTATAATAATTACTGTTTCATGGGTTACGAAGTTAAGAAAACTCTCCAACTTAAAGAGGTTGGATCTGTTAACTATAAGAGGTCCATTTCATTTTAATAGCGTACGTGACCAGCATGACCTTATAATTTAATGTTTCCATCTCGAAAATAAAGGATAGTTGAAGGATACTTACCAAAAGCCGTGGTTTATCTGACCAAGAAAAAAAATTGAATCGAATTGGACGAATCCATGGAGATGAAGACACACTCTCGCCTGATGGTTGCAGAGTTAACCACGCTTGTTTCAGGTACTCCTGGTCTTCTGGATCAAAGCAACACTGAAATTTACCCATAAATTTCCTAGATGAGCACAACTGATGAGCAACACATAATTAAGGCATGAGGATGTTTTTAGAGGAAACAAAACTGAAATACTACGTTTCTGGTACTAATGAGCAGCACATTCAGCACGTTGCTCTGTACCAGTGAGGTATTGACGTGTGCTAACACAAACACGGTGAGATTGAGAAGCGGCCAATTAGGCAGTATTAATCCAGAAGAACAGCTTGATCTATCATCCATTTCAAAAGTAGCTAATTACTTAAGAATAGCGTTGGGATATTATCGGCGACCTTCTCTTCAGGAAGCTAGCGGTATCTACAACATAAGGTCAAGTCTTAAACTTGGGACTGTTGTAATGAATTAAACCAGATAACAGCTGCATTACAGAGGTGGTCGGTAAGCACTAAATAATGTAAGACATAAGTGAGGTTTCGTAAACTAGTTTTCAATCCATCGAATCGAAAAAAAGTCAAAACAAAACCCAAAAATCAACGAACTCGAACAAACGAAATCGACTTACATCCCACTTGTGTATGTGCCTCATTCTGTCTTCGACTGACCAAGGAGGATATAGACTGCAAATAATCAAGAAATATAGCTTCATTTTATTAAACCATATGCTTCAAAAAGAGAAAGAAGTAATATCCAGCAATTTAGCATACATCTGAGGTTGCGGTGGAACCCGAGCTTCAATAGTTGGAAGAAGGTTTATGAGTTCTCTTTCGTGTTTGCTGAGCTTTGCTTTCTTAGGAATCGCAACAGCCTTATCTTCCTAAAGAAAATGGTACCAAAACCTAATAAAAATATGACTTTAACACCCTCGCGACAACGCCTAACTGTTCGCCACACTCACTGTGACACCTACAGGTATCCACTCCGGGAGTTTTGTGTAGCTCCGCCCACTTCTTATTGCGAAATCCGTTCTTTGAATCGGATCTTCTCCGCACTTTGAAAAAATTCCGCGCTTTTCTCGTCCCCTATATGCTACACGTTCTTCCATACACCCTCTCAAATTTTTGGTGCACACATGACTCTTGTGTATCAAGGGGAAAAAGGTTCACCATGCCAACAGCATCTAAATGGTGTAAGTTGTTTAAGGAATACTACGGTCTTCAACTTTGTGACTTTGGCATCCTCTCATTCCATACGACACGCAGAAGTCATAAGAGGTACTGAAAATAAGAAAACAACGAACTGTATCTCAAAAATGGTGCTGCACACTGAGTGCATGGTAGTTTTTCCCACAATTTTTCAACTGTTAATGCACTTTAGGAGTTGGAACATCAACAGGTTTGTAGGAAAAGCTTTCCAACATTGTTCTATAAGTACATGTGCTATTATATATCCAAATTTTGTACGACATTCATGATTAGTTATAGCTACCACAAAAGATTCGAGCAATCAATAGTTTCGTAAATTGGTGACACTCACTGTAGGTTTTCTTATTAATGTTAGGTGACTTATTTATGGATGTTCTAGAACTGCTTGTGTATCATCTCGTCAAGACCACAATTAGTTGGAAACTAGAACTAAAGAAAATTGTTTATGAATACAGGAGAACAGATGGGGTCCTACTCTCGTGCGTAAAAGAACCAGCATGCGGTATGTGAACTTACTTACTTGGATACTTGGACGACCCGTCCTCCTGGTTTTGCGGACCCCATCACATTCTCCACTTTTCGGAGTTTTGCTGGTTTAGCCATTGTGTTTCTCTGTAGTTCCGAGACCAGTCTAGCCAAAGTTTGCCCGAGGTCGTCTTCATCACAGGTAGTCGCCGCCTTTGTGGATCAGGGGGATTTTCAACCATAGCATAAGTTTGATACCATGACGGTGGCAGATCCCGGTATCGTTTACTCCTAGCTGGGCTTTCTGATGGAAACGCCGGACGCTGTATTTGCTTGGGAGACCCTACTGTAGGGATGAATCCACGCTATACATCCCGGCCCGACACACACGAACACCAAGCCACGACGAGGCGGTAAACCGTTGAAAGGCGTACGTGAACTATTTGAATCATTTGAATATATATATGTATATATATATATATTTGTCCATGTACAAATACTTTTTTACTTGATACAACTCGTCTTCACGTTTATTGTGCAGGTCCAAGTTCTTCACACATTCGACTCTTTTCTTCGCATTAATCATCCACTGTGCTTGAGGATTTTCATTCCATCTTGAAAGTCCTAGAATGCTAGTCGAGTCGATTCTTCCTGGAACCCGGAGTTCTTTATTCATGTTAAGATAGCCGGATCGGAGCATTCCAAATTGGATTGTAGAGAGTGACTTTTTTCCGGACAAGCCTGGTGCCAATTTTCCGAGCCCGGAGGGATAAGAGGCTTGGTGAGCACACAGCGTGATCGTAGCAGCATAGTGATCGTGATGACCGGCATCGCTACCACTGTTCAATCCGTTCCTCATATATATATTTGCTTTATAAAACCGACTTTCATTCAAGCTCGCCATGAACTATCGGTATATTGTTCTACACATGAGCTCACATATTGTAGGTACCCATATCTTATATGTTGCATGAATAATATATTGTATCGCAGATATCCTAATTGTTGATGTTTCATCAGGTATTCATTTAAATTTGATAAGTTATTCTCAACTGCGTAAGCATTTATATCTGTGTAAATTACTGCCAATGCACCAAAGATTTCCTATGGGATTTCGTGACTATTATAAAACTATTCGAAGTGTTACTGAAGAGTCGATGATAGAACAGCCTCCGTTGCTAGTGCAAAAGCACGAGGAAATAAAAAAAAGCAAAAGCAGATACGTTATGCTTGTAGAGAGGTTCTTCCTATTGTTTCCGAGATCAACATTTCATCACTTGGAGACACCACACCTCCGTTTCCAGTTGGTGATTATGGGAAGGTGTTGTCTGATAGGTACTGAGAAGTTTCAACCTTTTAACTGGATATGCGCGCTTGTTTAAGTGCAAGACCATTTCTTATAATCGTTCAGTCCCCACTTTTCTAAATAGATGACAAACTCCAACGTCACTACGTCGAGTTGCTTCTGGAAGTCCACCAATATATCTAGGACCTCATGGTCCATCACCTGTTTCCAGCTGGTATCCTCCTACATTTGCACTATTATGAGTAAATTCTCTTCTGCATGATTCGTTTCACTTTTCCTGATAGCACTTTCTAGCAAGAATTTAGGAGTTTAAATCCGACGGTATGCAATGCACATAGACCAACACTAGATGCAGCCATTGCAACAAATATTTCTGTTTAGATGGTTCCAACAATCCTCAAGTATAATGAAAATACGGAATGATTTTAAGGGGAAGCAGTATATGAGACATGTAATTGTAAATACTGAAGGTTGCAGCGATTGTGAATTACGCTTAAAACATGTTAACTCCTAAGGGTTACGATCGTGAGGAGAACAAGAATTGTATAGAAAGTATTGGTTGTAAACAGTGCTGGATACATTCAAGGTAATTTGCATGTAGTGATGATTCAGATATACTATGTGGACGTCTAGCTCTTTCGCATATAGCGCTTTTGGTAACTACAACACAACTATTTCATAGTTGTCATCAACACTGTGGCATTGGATGAAGGAAATCGAAGAAATCCAAAGTCTGAATTGTTGCCCTTTCAGTAGTTATGATCAAAATAGAAGAAAACACCCATTGTAAGCACTGAAGCCTACATCTAAAGAATGATATCTGTCCGTAGGATAGTGGAATTGCATGCGTATATCTATAGATTATAAACTGTAGATTATACACAGTGTTTCTGGGAAGAATTTTCAACACATCCACTATAGTTCCCAGGACTTTCTCTTAACCTCGGCATTGGAATATGAATGTGTCGTTTTCTTGTTCAGTAATCGCAAGGTTTTTAAACAGTATATATTTACTTCCATAAAAAACACAATACAATACAACGCTAGCTGACGTTTCGGCAGTATCGCCTTCTTCAGAGCCGCTTTTTTTAAAACACAATACAATACAACGCTAGCTGACGTTTCGGCAGTATCGCCTTCTTCAGAGCCGCTTTTTCGTGACTTTCAATGAGGAAGTTTAGAACAACTGATTATAGTCGCATGTGATTGCGACTCAACTCAACTCAATAATCAGCTGTTCTAAACTTCCTTATTGGAAGTCACGAAAAAGCGGCTCTGAAGGCGATACTGCCGAAACGTCAGCTAGCGTTGTATTGTATTGTGTTTTTTACGGAAGTAAATATATGCTGTTTAAAAACATCGCGATTCCTGAACAAGAAAACGACACACATCGATTATAGTTGCTTCACAGCTGTTTGACAAACACTGTTGAAGCACACTAACGAATGCATACTCTACAAACATCTAGTCACTCCGAAGAAGTATTCTCATTGATTTGTCATCTTACCCGAGCGAAACGCTGTCTCTAAGCGAAAAGCACTCTCGAACTATCGAACCCTCGTGCACAGATAGAAGCGTTTCTGTGTCTCTTCACTGGCCACACTCTCTACACTGCAACTCCCTTCAACAGCAGTGGTATCTCACTTACGAATTGAACTAGTCCAAAAAGAACTTTTCTTTTGAATTATTGAACGAGAAACTACTAATAGGACATTCTGCCATGAATGATGCCCTCCACACTGAATAAGCATCGGCCACTCCCATCAAACCGTTATTACGTCTATAGGTGTCATTCGTCGCGAAAGTGTTAAAAAGCTTCCTCATAAACTTAGAAGTAGTTGGAAACAAATGTAATGAACAACAATTTCAAAACACGGACCGATATCAGATGTGTCTCAGGTTTTCCCAAATTTTCCTCATCTTCTAATAATTTGAAGTAGCAGTGTTCAGATAGGTTTACATGGTAAAGGGCTCGAGGCATTAACTCTGACCACTCCAACGACGAGCCATTGAGCTAAACCGAAGTGTTAAAATTAGTAAGTAGCAACAGTAGTAAAAATGTACTTTTTTTTTAAAAAAAAAGAGGCATCACCCACAATTCTCTCCCAAAGAGGCTTCTCCTCGGTTGCAACATCTGTTTTCCGACAATCGATGTCAAGAGCAGGAATGTCCGTAGCAG